CTGGATGTTTCAAGTTACTCTTTTCTGGAATATGAGAAAGGGTACCATTTCTGGAACTAAAATGTAAGTTATGAAGAGTTTTCACACACACCTGATCAAAACCCTTCCGTATAACAGGAGTTTTAACCCCAGAACTATTTTCAGACATTCATCCTCATGCTTTGCTCTGGAAAAAAGACATTTTATCCCTTACCACTCTATTAAGGGGCTTACTACTGCTCTCCTTCCTTCCCGCCTCAGTTAGAGGCACGAGGAGCCTGTCTCCCTGTGCTGCACCGAACCCCGTCCCTTCGGCACGACTTGCCTGCTCACAACCGCATTATCAGAAGCCCAGGCTTTTTCACGCTTTTGTTGCTGACTTGCTCTGGGAGTGAGTGTAGCTTTTGATAAGTAACTGATGAAAACACAAATGAGCAAAAAGGCTCTGTTAACTTCTACACTGCTGTCTACTGGGGACATCATCTTTGATTGCATCTGACCTCTGCAGATGTAGCTGCCCAAATTGCCAGCAGATCTGCACTCGCTTCTGCATACAATTCAACACTATTATTCCCTTCATGACACTATTCTCTTTTTAGAAAAGGTCCTTCTACTACACAGATCCTGCGGATCTGTTCCGTGTTTGATTGCTCATGTTTGAACTGTAGGTCATTCTAAAGCATATTTTCCTCTATTGTATACATAAAATTTCAATTCTCAAAGATAACTGCAGTTTATAGGCAAGTTGTCAGACCGCTTTCTCCAAGACATCAGCCCTTAATGTACCAAAACCAGTGACAGATTCAAAACTCTGAGAGGAAAGCAAGGAATTCAAAATTCCCCTCAAACGATCTTTTTAGTTTTCTTGTTATATTAAATAATTCATCTACTCAAGCTGAACAGTTACGTTTACACTCATCTGAGTTTCAGAAGTGGAAGAGCTTTATATAATTCATAATTTTTGTTCAAAATAACCAAATTAGGAAATCTAAAAAGGGAAAAGCATCATTTTGACAATCTCATGTTTTGGTTTTGCAAACCAAAACAAAGTGAATGAAAAAAATCATGACTTCCTCCTATTTTAACCCCAAAGGCATTCCCAATAAAGCACATAATGCAGAGACAGATAGAAGAACAAGAGTCTACAGTCATTATGCAAAATGAAATATGAGAAGTCAGCAATAAAATTTAAAATCTACTTTACATTTCAGTATTAAAATTATCCTGCACGTAATAAAATATTTATTTTAGACCTGCTACATTTAGTCTGACATTACTACTTGTAAGAGCTGTCCTATGAAGCATCTTGAATAGGCCAGGAATCTGATGGTTAAGATGCCTCCCCCGTACACAGAAGACCTCAGTTCAAGTCACTGTCCCAAACACAACAAAGGAGTTTGAATACACATCTTCCACACTCCAGGCAAGTCTGTAACTGTTGAGCTATTAGTTTTGGCCTATCCAAGCTCTCTAAATTTTATTCAAAAATGTTTTAAAAAAATTCGAAAATGTCCATTTTCATTAGATTCTCCTTTTCTAGCACATGCATGTGACACGGCCACTAGACTGCCAGTATTCTGGAGCTGCATCTAGCGGCCTTTCAGTGCACCTCTGAATAAAGTACCCAAAAATCCTGTGACTGAGTTAAGAAGGTCTCACATTCCTAAAATATCATAGCCTATACACAGTGATTAAAGCACTGCACAAGTGATATTTATTATGCCACTGTTTTCTGAATATTGTCTCACAAAGATTTTCATTCTTATTCATTGGTCCTATCCATTGATTTATTCATCCTTAAAAACAGATAAAAGACGGGTTAGGTTTTGTTTCATTTTGTGTCCAAAATGAAATATACTTAAGCAGGTTACCAGCTCTTTTACAGGCACCTTCTCAGAACTTCTGTGACTATACACATATGCTCTTGTTAATAAGGATTCTGCAGTATAATAAAATTCTGTCTCAAAATGGCTTATTTCTTTAAACTTTACTAAATCCAAGAAAATATGTAATACTATCCCTTACTTTGGCATCTGAAACAAAGTGAATAAACTCCTCAGTGCCGCTCCAATTTAAAAACAAAATAAACAGCAAGCTGCATTTCCGTGATATTTTTGTACTTCAGAACAGTAACTGAACGTTTGTTCTACAGAGGAGATATGTAGCAATAAGAAACTGAACACGATCACATTAATCTCCTTATTGCTCCTGTGCTTTTGTAAAGCATCATCTGATTATTTGTCAGATTGAACTGTAAAAAGAACATCTCCAATTAATCTGCCCAGGTAATCAGGAAACCGCAAAGGTGGATGGATGTTCTGCTCAGAGTAGAGAAAAGCTGACGCAACAAATCCCTCCAGGAGGCAAACAGAAGAGGAATTCATCTCTGGGGATGACACAACTCCCTCAATTCAGTGTTATGTAGAAGGCAGAAAGGAGGCTTCTAAAGAGGCAAGAGAACTTGACTGACGTTGCTGTGTATTCCAGAGAATGTGACTTGAGATCAAACTGAGCTGAAGAGGAAAAGAGACTGGTCATTCCTCTCATTATACTAACAAATATATTTAATAAGTTCTGCAAGAAAAGTTTTTTAGCGCTCTTCCTGTCCATTGCAGACAAATAACCCAATAAGTCTCCTCAGATCCTATATGAGGACGAAGCTTGCCTTCAGAACTGTAGCAAAAACACTGTTTCTGGTGATCAAGATTTTTATTACACTAATGAATCTACAGTCTAGTTTTCTACGTCATTTGCTTATTCTACTAGTACAGCAGCTTGACTTGCATGCCTGAAAAACATGACAAATTTCTCTTAAACACATAATGAGATCATTTGTTTACAACAAAATACAGGAGCCACGAACAATTTTAGAAGAAATCGCTGCAAATTAATACATTTCCTATAATCTTAGTATCCTGTGCTTATAACTGGTGTCACAATTTGTCTTAATAAGGCATTATTAATGTTACATTCATTCTCTCTTCCACCTTGACAGGGAAAAAATATCCATTCCTTCAAGGAAGGATGATCTTGTGCTTGCAGAACACAGGAGCTCTGCTTCTTCCTCAGACTGATTTTGTGCATGACGTCAAACCAAAGGGCACTTAAATCTTGTATGTTAGCTTCTGTAATTGTAAAAATCAGAATTTGCTTTAAGCAGGTTGGACTAGATGACTTCCTGAGGTCCCTTCTGACATGTATTTTCTGATGTTCGTATGTGTTTTGAGATACATCAGCATGAATGAAAGGGGCACTCAGACATTACAGGGTTGATTACCACTGGAAAAATCAAGGAAGTATCCTAAGATTTTCAAGTTTTAAAAGCTTAGCTTTTTATCAGAGATGGACCTGAAAACAAACAAACAGACACTTGTCTAAGTGTTCATGAATTTTATCTCTTTTACAACTATCACCTACGAGAGCCAGAGAAAAACTGGCAAAACTATTGCCTTCAGACCTTAGCAAAATGATGATGATCCTGTCCCAGATGATATGGCAAAATCTGCCGTTTTATGTTCATTTTAAAAAAAGAGAAAGAAATCAAAAACAACAAAATGTCCACTTTGACTACATATTTTTAAGCAGCACCACAGAAAAACCTGAAAGGCATTGATCTGAATACTATGAGTAAGTGAATTTACCAGGTAGGTTAAGAAAATCTTTGCAGGCAGATTGATGCCAATATGAAATAACAAACAACAAAAAAAAATAATCTCCCACCCACTTCTCATCTTGCAACATAAAATACACACCTCATTGCCAGCATTTCACCAATGATACTAGTTAATCTGTTTAGTATTCCTGAATATGCTGCTTTTATACCAATTTTCAGCATTTTCTAGAGTAGTCATTCCCTTTCTCTAACTCTCAAAGCAAATCAGTCCTTCCCCAAAGTTCAAAAGATTTTAGATCCCTTTTTTTCTCCTTTTCTTTAAATCACTAGCCAATATGAAATCCTCGTTTTCTTATTCTCTATTGTTCCACCTCACTGTCAGTATCAAACAGAAATATACAAGAAACAGAAATATACAAAAAACAGATTTTCTTGCTGTGATGTTTGTCAAATCTCAGATTAAAGAACAATTATTTTTTCTCCAAATAATCCCCTATAAATAGTTTAAAATTAAAAATGCGGTTGCCCAGATGAGAGTGCTGAGGTCGCAAAGATCTATGAGTTCACAGTAGATCCTCACGGAATAAGAAATTAAAAAGCAATACCAAAACCCCCAAATCCCTATTTTGTACAAATTTGATTTCCCTGCATTGGGCTTTCCTCAGTATTTTCTGTATTAGCCCATTTCACGGACTACTCTATAACCCAGCTGTGTATGTCTAGTCAGGGATATAACAGAAAATAAGCTACTACATCCTCACTATCCAGAATAAGTCACTACATGTTCCGGGAGTATAATGTGGCTGCAGGTGTGATTAAAAAAGAAAGAAAAACCAACTGCTAACAAGTAGGATGATCCTTGTCTCTCTCTCATTTAGAGCACTACTTATCAGGCCAAGGTGAAGCTGGGTCAGCAACCTCTGCCGGTTAAGACGTGCTTTTCTGGGGGTGCCTCAGTCACAACACACTATATTAAGCAACAAATAAATCTCTCATTTACATAGATTGTTCTTCTAATAGCCATTTTATTTGTTTTTCATCATCTTTTCATCATTTTCATCATCATCACCTTTCTTTATGCACTGATGGGGTATACTGCTTGGTATGAAGTTTCCAGAAGACACTATGGTACTTGCAGGTCAGTGGACTAGAGCACAGCACGCTCTGCACAGCTTCCACACTGCAAAGAGCAAAGGCAATGCATTGTCCTGTATTTCAAACGATTTCAGTTCCTGCTGCTAGTATTTTCAGTTCTCCAGCAGATATCTCCCAATTAGTCAACCTCTGATTGACTTTGGACTGTTGGAAATGAATACCAGTCTGACTAGTTCACAGTACCATTTATCAAACTTGCCTTTAACATCGCTTTAAAAAAGCAGAATAAAGAAAAAAAAAACTTTTCCCTTACCTTGTTGGGGGCACATCAATATTTGAAGAAACCACCTTGCGCTTCTGTTCAAGAAGACAAATAGAACGAGTATTTTCCTTTTCATACTCATGAACTCTGTTTGGTTTTTTGGTCTCTGCTGTTTTAAAATCTTCCTCCTTTGTGGCAAACAGGAGAAACTGTTGGTCTGGCAGTTTTTGACTGATGTCGCTTTTTACATCCTCCTGTTGAAATGCAGAGAAGGTCATTTCACGCTTGATGCTGGCTGCCTGCAAAAATAAAAGTAAATATTAAATTTCACTCTAATTCTCCTGGGGGGGGAAGGGAAATACCACTAATCATTTACTTCTAACTAGCTCTTCAAATCAGAAGGCATCATTTTTTTTGGCCCTTCATAAATTCTGAAACTGGCATGAATTTCTCACCAGTGTTAAGGATAAACCAGGAGAAGAAGCAATTCTTGGCTGCTTGATAAAGCAATCAGTTTTCTCAAAAAAGGTATTTTAATTGGAACGCTCTAAGCCACAGTACATATAAGTTATATGTCATGCACATACATCTGTACTGCATAACTTTATCCTAGTGGCCTTCCTCCTAAAATTCCAGTAAAAAAGTCAGAATTGATACAGATGGCTTTCTAAAAAGCAACCAAGAAACTAAAGAACTTCTGACAGCCACTTACTGGATTCTTCAAGTTATTTTTGTAAAGGAGGATTTCTCCTAGCAAATAAAATAAAGTCTAGATTTTTCTCCAAAATACAGTTTCCTGGCCAATTCCTCAACTTCCCTGGGGAAGATCTATCTCATAGGCTGCTACAAACTGCTCCTCCCGCTCAGCTCCCAGCAGCAACGGGTTCAGCTCCTTCAGCCTCTCAGCCCTCTGACCCCTACGTGGCCGTAAGTGGCTTCTTTTGAAAGGAACATGTGCCGCAAGACATGGGGATAACCAGAAGCATCTGCTGCTGCTGCTAGTTCGACATATCTGTACCTTTAGTATTGGAAGCTTCAACTGCTAACTTGCCAGAAGTCCATGAGATGTGCTGGGGTGGCAACTCCCTCCCCCCAAAACAAAGCAACAACCCAATAGTAAAGCAGAATACAGGCAGCAGCAATGCCTTGTCGTCCTGACTTGAGTAGATGTACTTCCACGGTATACGGGCTGCTTTGGAAAAATCTGGAAGTCTTCTAGGACTTGCAAACTGGATTTTTAGACACATTACTTCTAATCTTTACAGCAGAGAAATTCAGGATATGTTAGCCTTACATACTAACAGAATAAATACCGAGCCATTCAAAAATTCCCATGACCGTTTCCAAAGCCAATTCAATTTCATACTAACAGAACTCTGCAATCGCAAAATGAGATTATATAGAAATCCTTTCCTATGTAAATTCTGATACTTTATTACTCCTGCTTTTTATCATCCAAAAAATGATTATATATAGAACAAATAAATATATAAACTAAAAAAAACATATAAAAGATCTTCTCCCCACCAAACTCCCTACTTATAGGTTTCAAACCTTCGCAGGTTTAAAAACGGTGCAAATTAAGTTCACAGAAAGGAAATCTTGCCAAGGTAATTTTCTTTAGCTATGTAAAGTATATACTTTAATGTGTCCCATTCTAGTGTTACCATAGAAGAACTTTTGGCAGTTGTTTCAAGAACCAATACGAAATGGTTCCCTTTTAAATAGCAAAGAAAGTTAGTTGTTTTATACTTGCTCAGATACAAATAGATCACATTAACAAGAAAATTTGCTTGGAAGACAAAACAGTAAACCTGCTCACTCAGAATTAAAGGAAGATATACAAACAATAAAACTTTAATTCTAATGTAATGATTTTTTTGAAAAACTTCTTAAAAAGATTTACAGCAAGTCCTTTTTTCAGGGTCTGAGGATCTTAGATTCTGAGCCGCCTTTCATCAGAATTGACTTAGAATGGAATCGATAACACTGAAGAAAAAGAGATCTGAAAAAGATATCTGAAAACATGCAAGTTATAATACTCAGCCCCTAGAAACTAGGTAACACCAAATGAAGTTGCATATACAAGTTAAATTCCATCTGCTAACATTATAAAATGGTCTTCCATTACATGATGAGCACCGGAACATGTTGCTCAGAGCAGTTGTGGAGTCTCCTTCCTTGGAGATATTCAAAGGCCATCTAGAGTTGGTCCTGGGCAATGTGCTCTAGGCAGGGCGGTTGGACTAGATGATCTCCAGGGGTCCCTTCCAACCTCAACCATTCTGTGATATGATCACATACTTCCCCCACTCCGGATTTCCACCTCATTCGGTGCAGAGAACAGCAACATTTACTTAGTGAGCACCTGCATAAGCTGTGTGATGCGTGGGCCTCACATGCACACCTTGTTCTGAAGGCAGAATCTGGCAGTTTTCTCATTACTTTGAACAACTCTCATCAGAGAAAGCCCTGAGAGCACAGGTGAGTCTCCCTAATCTCCAAAATCCAGAGTGCACACAGCATTCACCTCCTTTTTTAAGCCCAATAAATTCAGATTTTACTAAAGAAAAAAAATATTGTTTTCCCTCAATTTACGGAACTTAATGTTTTACTCAGTTTCAACAAATGCACTGTGTTATACATTACGTTTACTTTACACACCTAAATAGTGACTACAGGAAGCTGTAGACTCAGATTAATTTAATAGTTGTACAAATAAAACCTAGAACATAGAAAGCAGAACACTTGTATTGTGATGCCAAATATTGTATTTATATATATAAATTTAATATTCTGCTCATAAATATTCAAATTATGGTTTGGTTTTCCTTTTTCAATATAACATAATTAATGGTCAGACCTGTCAAGGTATATGAAAGCGAAGGTGAAAAATGACCAAAACACACAGATATAAGTGGTCAGAGGGTTGCAGAGCTGCATCCAACAGTTCAGGTACATTGGTTATATGGCCAAAAATGAAGACCACATCTAATACAGTGCCTATATTAGTCCTTTTCCTCTTCTTCAGTTTTCAAATGGATGTTTGAAAATATTTATTAACATCTTTCTAAACTTCCTCTTAATAGCGTAAAGAAAAAGATTCAGATAATGAACCTTTTCTACTTTAAAAACAGACAATCATGGCAGAAGGTCCAAAATTTCACTCAGTGGTCACTGTCTTGCAACTTTCTCCTGCTCAGCAGTTCTTCAGTTTGCCAGAGTATACAAGAATAATTTCCACTTGAGACACGTGTTGTATTTGGAAGGGTACAAAATCTTTTTCAGGATATTCAACCATATTCACAAGAAGCTGTTGATGTATTCCTTTTGGAGAGCATCAAGTGCCAGATTAACTTGACTGACTGACTTCTTCGCTTTTTGCTACATACATTGATTATGAACATAATGACTACTCTGATTTCAAGTTCTGCACTGTGATCGCTCCCAATGCGGAGGTAATATAATCAATTTTTAATATATCTTTCCAGATAAGTTTTTTAACTGTTCTGTCATATCTTATTGAGAACTTTTTTTTTTTCTCTCCACATATTCCTTTTGGTGGTCTTATTAAACCAAAAACTTAGTGGAAGGTCTAGTCCAAGCAGATACTACCTGTTTCAGATAGCAATTAACATAACGACATCAATTTATTTTAATTTACTTCTGGTACTTTGCACTTCTCTTTCATAGTTTAAGAATAGCTGCACAATGAATATGACTATGTTGTTTGATAATGATTTGCCTATTCTTCTCATCATACCACAGTACTTGCTACCTTATTGCCTCCAGTATCTGCTGCTTATAAAAAAATCCAGAGTTTTCCATATCCACACAAACAATTATCATTCAAACAAGTTATTTTATATTAAGATAACCGCTTTTCAGTGTAGTTCATTGCATAATTTCACCCTCAAGCCACAGTAATATTCAACTTGCTTTCAACCGAGTGCTTTGTAACCTGGCCTCAGGCAACTGACATTGTTTGAAAATTCACATTTCAGTTACAAAAATATAACAGTTATAAATGATCTGTAATTTTTAAATCTAACTTTGTTTCCATCTGCACTTGGTTTTGTTACCACCACCTCTGATAACTTCCCTCGCAGTGTTATTGGATAAGTGAAGCTTTTGATATGCCACTGCTTGGAAAAGACAGTTCAATATTTTCTGCATCTTTACCCACAGAGCTCAGTTCTGACACGCATATATATTTGGGTTCTGCTCTTTCATTAGCCTTTCTACTGCATTTCAAAAAAATGCTTCTTTACGTGGCTGGCCTTCCCACTCACTCTCTTTTGACTTTTCAACATCTAATAGCAAGACCATTTTCATGAACTGCTTCAAAGACATGAACTGGATCACAGAACTGTCTTCTCCTCTTCATTTAGAAACCCTCACTCCGAGTTCAGTGGTATAGTGTTGTGGCAGCTGTACTCCACCAAACTAGACTAAGAGACAGGTGCTGTTTCAGCTGGAGAGTTTAGTGATCCGTTTCTACAAAAACGGAAAGAAGTTTATTGCTTTGGTTTCTAAGCAAAAACTTTACTGAACAAACAGGGGAGATAATTTTAGTTTCTGTTTTGAGGTTGTCAAGACAATGGCATGTATTTAAGTTGAGGTTATACTTTTAGGATAAAGTTTTTTCTGGTTTCATTAGTATTTTTTTTAATTCAAGAAGTTTAACATTCCACATTACACCATTAACTTTTTCAGTACATTCATCAGTACGTTATAACTTTTCATGGCATAAACCATCTTAACCTGCCTACAAAAACTTGCATGTTTAATATCATCTCATAACCAAGTTGCCAGTCTTGAAATTCAGATTCCCCAAACAGGACCATGCAGCTGCAATGAAAGTCCTGCCCAAATTAAAGCATGCTCAACATCAACAGAATTTTTAGGAGACTGAGAGAATTTTTTCTTTAGACTCCAGTTTTGCCATGGTTTATGACTAAACATATTTGTAGTCAATTTTTGCTATGTTCAAAAGTGTATCACTGATCACATGACCACATTACAGTCAAACTTCAGTCTTTCCAATTTCAGTTAGATTTGATCTTGGTTTTTGCTCTGAATAGCAAATCTTTTTCTCCCCAGTCATTGCCGATCAAACAGTTCAAGTATTGAGCTACCTAGCCAAAGGATCACTAACAACTAGAATAACTAGACCTATCTGATAATATTTACATGCAGACTGAAAGACTTAAATCTGATAGACTATACATGTACTCTCGAGTACAATATGATTGGGCTTTAGCTTCTTGGCTTGTTTCTGACACACTGCTGCTT